GGTCCTTTTGGGAGCTGCCTGGTGGCTTCCTGGGGAGCAGCTGCTGAATTCCCCCATGAACTGGGTCCTGTTATGTTTAAGCCAAGACACCAGTTTGCCCACAAGGAGGCTTGTGTCCCTCAGGAGCTCCAGCCAGAGGCTGGATGTCTCTCCTGAGCTCTTCAGCCTCAACCTTGTGCCTTAAGCAGGAATTTGGGAGTGGGGGTGAGGCACAAAGTGGCACCAGGTTTGGGGGGTGAGGGAGGAGGAGCAGAAACGGGCAGAGGTGATGGTGGCCGAGTGGAAGCACTGGGGTAGGGGCTGAAGAACAGCTGGGTGTAAAGTGGCCTGGGTTAAAGCTGGGTTTCCCCCAGCAGAGCAGTGAGACCCTGGGAGCTCCTCCCAGCGTGTTGGCAAAGGAAGAGAAGCTGGTTTGGAGCAGGGGTGGCCCCTGGGAATAAATTTGGGAAGGGAAACAACAGCGGGGTGGATTCGGCACTGAGAAATCCTCATGCCTGTGGTGCTGTGCTCTGGAGTGGTGGGGTGGCACGACCCTCCTGGTGGCCTTCACCCTTCTGACACTCTCCTCTCCCTGCTAGGCTGTTGACTGAGCTGGAGTCTCCTCCTTGGTGGCCGTTCAGCACCAAGCTCTGGAGGAGCCCCTCAGAAGCCAAGGCCAAGGAAACCGCCTCCGCCGAGCCCAAGCCCCAGGAAGGGATCCTGATGAGGATTCCAGTCATCATCACCCACAGGACAGACTCCAACGTCAAGCCAGGACAACTCACTCTCTTCCCTTCTGGCCTGGAGATCAGTGACTGCAATGCTCAGGTCCTTCACCGTTTTGAGGCCAGGGATGTGGATGACATCAGGGTCCACACCCCCTACGAGGTCAGCGTCCGGCAGAGGTTCATTGGGAAGCCAGACACCTCCTACAGGCTCCTGTCAGCCAAGATGCCAGAAGCCATCCCCCTCCTGGAGATGCAGTTTAGCAAGAAGATCCAGTTTTTAGAAGATGCCCTGGGATTCGTCGGGGCCAGGAGGTCTCCTCAGGTAGATCTGGGGACCTCCATTTGGCAAGCAGGTGGGTGAGAGACAAGGATCCATTTCCTAGGCAAGTCCTTTCCCCTCTGCCCCAGTGCTGAGACTGTGCTGGTGGTAAAATGCAAGAAATATCTGCTGGAAGACTTTCCACCTCTTGCTGAGAGGGTGGAGATGTCAGGGGTGTGTGGCTTCTTTTAGTCTAGTTGGATTTACTTGCTCCCAAAGAATGATTTTGGTTGGGAGAGATATTTAAGGTTATCCAGCCCAACTGTGCCCAGCACTGCCAGGTCCCCACTGCCCCGTGTCCCTCACCCCACATCTCCATGGTTTGGGAACCCCTCCAGGGGTGGGGACTCCACCACTGCCCTGGGCAACCCTCCAGGGCAAGAAATTGTCCCTCAGGGCCAACCTCAACCTCCCCTGGGGCAACTTGAGGCCCTTTCCTCTTGTTCTCTCTCAGGATTGTGCCACTCCACTCTCCTCTCCTGCCTGCATGCCTCAGAGTCCCCCATCAGTGCTGGTTTTCCTCTGGCAGTTTGTTGCTGGAAAACATTTCTATTAAACCTGTGGTCCAGTTAATTGGTGAAAGTTCCAAACAAATTTCCAGCAAGTATTTAAATAACATGCAGAATAACCAACATGTCCCTTCTCATATCTTAAAAATATCCAATTTTTGTGATTTGGACCATTCAGGTGTTTGGATTTTGGAGATTTTTAGGTGAAAGCACAGTTGAAACATTTGAAAAAAAAACCACAGTGGAGGAGCCTGAAACTTTGAGAGCAATGAGAATGACATTCCTTTCCTCCCTCCCTTCTTCCAAAATTCCAAGGGGGTATTTTTTTGCTTGTGGTTTTTGCAATCCAACTCTGAATTCGTTTGCAGAACTGGTGAATTTTAAGGTTTTATTTCTAGCAACACACCCAAATCCTCTTTTTTTTTTCCCTAATTATTCCTGACAGAAGAGCAAATCTGTAGATTTTTTTTTTTAATATGTTAAAAATGAGCAGGGAGATGATAAAACAAAACAATAAGTGAAACTTTTGCTGTGCACCAAGCTAAAAGACTTCAGCAGGGAGGGGAACAGCCTCTTGTTGATGAGCTGTCAAGAGCCATAGCTTGGAAAAGCTCATTAATTTTTAAGGAAGCAAGTTTGGGGCATCTGGCACTAAACCACCATCACAACAACTCAGAGGAAAAACAACCTGCTGGTTTCTTGAGTTATTCCAGCAAATTGCTGTTCAGTTCCTGAGGGTCTGAAGGCTGGTTACATAAAATAATTGGTTATCCAGCCTTCTGGTGCTTCATTTCCCACTGCTCTGCTCCCTTTTGCAGCTGAGTCAGTGAGGCCAGGCTCTTACCCTCCCACCCCCACCTGCACTTGGGACTGTTTCCCTTGGATAGGAAAGGGGAGGTTATGGAAATCCTGACTTCTCCAGCTCCACCAAAAAAACCCTTGTTTGTTCCCTGCCCGGGCTCTGTGGCTGTTTTCTGTCACAAGGTGGCACTCCTGGACTGTGGCTTCACCTCTGGGGTCTGTTTTTTTCTTCCTATGGCTGCTCACATGGTGGAAATAGTGATTTTTTTTTTTAATTCTTTTTCCTAAAATCAAGGGAGGGGAAAAGTCTGTTTTGCCTGCCTGCCTCTGTGTACATATAAAATATGTGTCTGTTTCCAGAGAGCATTGATTGGGAGACTTCTAGGCTTGATTGGGAGACTTCTAGGCTTGATTGGGGGACTTCTAGGCTTGGTTTGGGGGCTTTTTGACTTCTAGGCTTGATTGGGAGACTTCTAGGCTTGATTGGGAGACTTCTAGGCTTGATTGGGAGACTTCTAGGCTTGATTGGGAGACTTCTAGGCTTGATTGGGAGACTTCTAGGCTTGATTGGGAGACTTCTAGGCTTGATTGGGAGACTTCTAGGCTTGATTGGGAGACTTCTAGGCTTGATTGGGAGACTTCTAGGCTTGATTGGGAGACTTCTAGGCTTGATTGGGAGACTTCTAGGCTTGATTGGGAGACTTCTAGGCTTGATTGGGAGACTTCTAGGCTTGATTGGGAGACTTCTAGGCTTGATTGGGAGACTTCTGGGCTTGATTGGGAGACTTCTGGGCTTGATTGGGAGACTTCTGGGCTTGATTGGGAGACTTCTGGGCTTGATTGGGAGACTTCTGGGCTTGATTGGGAGACTTCAAGGAGAAATATCCCTGCAGCAGAGATTCCTCTGCCTCAGGGAGTTCCTTGCCCTCGTGCTGCAGCTCAGAGACCTGATTCTTCTCTGTTTATACTCATCCTGCCTTAAACTTGTGCTTCTTGCACATTTGTAGAAGGAAATACAAATCCAAACCCTCATCTTTCCAGAGAGTTTTGGGTTGATTTCCACCTAGAAGAGCAATTTGTGGAGAGTTCTAGGGGCACCATTATCTCTCTGAGTGTTTTTAGCTGCTTTGCATGTCTTTTTAGACTGTATTTTTTTTTTTGGACCCAGCCACAGGAGTGTTTTAAATGCTCAGGGCAGAGCAGTGAGGTTTTTGTGACAGAGGTGGTTGCATTTTGGTCAAGCCAGGACCTTTATGGGCAGTAATGTCCTGGTGACACTCAGCTGGGGAGAACCCCAGAGAATCTCACCTGACTTGCTGCCACAGGCAGGTCTGTTCTTCCCTCCCCACTTCCTCCTTGGAGCCAGACAGTGATTTACCCTAAACACCATTTTCCAGTTTTCACAGCCTGGATCTTTGCCCCCCCAAAAAACCAAAGGGGCTTTGGCAGAGGATAACACCAGTAGAGTGACCAACCCACTGGTCCTAAGTCTTGGTGCCTGAGTCCAGGGGCTCTCAGGCTGCTACCCAAATAATCCCAGGGATTTAGGAGTCTGCAGGAATTGCACCAGAGGGATTTAGGGTTTGGTGCTTTTGGTTTAGCTTTTCTCTCCCTTTTCAGGGGGAATCATTCAGGTTGGCAAAGAGCTCTAAGGTCACCAGCCATCAACCCAACACCCCCATGGCCA